TTCTGCAGAATGCCCCCCTTTACGACCAACCCCATTTTCTTGCCATCCCCAGGGCGCAGCAGCACGAGAAATTCCAAACACTGACAGGTTTGGACAAACGAGTGCGTTGGGCGCCCCCTTGATGGTTGTCGCCCGGCGACAGAGTCTTCCAAGCTCGAGCCCCAGCGACAAGGATTTCGCACTTGTGCCAGAATGGCTGCTGCCATTATCCTCCTCCTCCTCCTCCTCCTCCTCCTCTTCCTCCTCCTCTTCTTCATCGTCGTATCATGTTTGTTCGTCTGCTTCTTCGGTGTATAAATAGTAATAGTGTTATTGTTCTTACGAGTCTTATGAATATTGTTGTTATGATTCGTCTTCTTCTGAGTCGTATTCGTATACATTATAATATTATTACTCGTGATTGTAATATGATTCGTCTTCTTAGTTTGTTCATGATTAGTGGCCTTATTACTTATGAGCATGAGTAGTTTTATTATGAGTGAGTATTAATATTTTTTAATTCTTGCATTATGATTAGAGTATGGTTATGCTTATGATTATTGTTCGTAATAGTATGAGTATTAGTAGCAATCTCATATTATTCTTCGTAGGTTCATTACTAGTAGTATTGTCTTCTTAGTATTACTATGTTTATTATTATGATGATGCTTATTATTGTTAAGTACGATAAGCTTCGTGCTTATTATTGCGAGGTGCGCCGCTGGATCTCCAAGGGGGGGGGTTAGGACCCCCCTTCCCCCCTCCCCCCCTTACCCGATCGGTCGTCGGCCCCCCCCCCCCTTCCCCGATCCGTGATCGGGGAAACCCCCTCCCCCTCCCCCCCTTTCCCCGACCCGTCGTCGGGGACCCCCCCCCCCCCTTTCAAAAGGAGAGGGGGTCCGAATCCCCCCCACCCCACTTTCGCCACGCCGCCCCCCTCACTGACGCCGGAACCCGACCCCCCGACACCCCTGGTTTTAACCCTATCCTCACCGCACCCAAAAACCCAGACCGAAATCCAAAACCCTAACCACAACCCAGCCCAAAGGAGTCACTAGGGGCACCATACCCCCTAACCACTAACCCCAGCCCCCTACTCACTACCCCCTACTCACTACTCGTTATTCGCTACTCACGACCCACTACTCACCATCCACTACTCACTACCCACCACCCACTACTCGCTACTCACTACTCCCTACTCACCACTCCCTCCTCCCTACTCACTACTCACTCCTCACTACCAACTACTCAATACTCACTACCCACTAAGCACTACTCACTACTCCCTATTCACTACTCAATAATCACTACTCATTACCCACTACCCACTACCCACTATTCACTACTCACTACCCACTACTCATTGCCCACAAATCACTACTCACTACCCACTACTCGCTACTCGCTACTCCCTACTCCCTACACAATACTGACTACACAGTACTCAGTACTCGCTACTCGCTCCCCATACTCGCTTCTCAATACTCACTACGTACTCCCCGCTACTCACTATTCACTACTCACTACTTACTACTCCCTACTCACTAGTCACTACAAAGTCTCTAGTCACTAGTCACAACTCACTAGTCACAACTCACTAGTCACTACTCATTACCACTACTCACCAATCGCTACTCACTACCCACTATTCGCTACCCATTCCATACTACTCACTGCTCACTACTCACTACTCGCTACTCCCTACTCAGCACTCACTACACACTACTCACAACTCGCTACCCCCTACTCGTTACTCACTAATCACTACCCACTACTCACTACTGACTACACTCTACTCACTACTCACTACTCACTACGCCCTACTCGCTCCTCACTACGCACTACTCGCTACTCCCTACTCGCTACTCACTACTCACTACCCACTGCCACTACCCACTACTTTCTATTCACTACTCATCACTACTCACTACTCACTACGCACTACGTACTACTCAGAACTCACTAGTCACTACTCACTACTCACGATTCACTACTCACTACTCGCTACTCACTACTCACTACTCACTACTCACTACTCACTACTCACTACGCACTACGCACCACCCACAACTCACTACTCACTACTCACTACTCGCCACCCATTACTCACTACCCACTACTCACTACCCACTACTCATTACTCCCTACTCTCTACTCAGTACTCACTACTCGCTACTCGCTGCTCACTACTCACTACTCATTACTCGCCACTCACTACTCACTTATCAGCACACACTAACTATTCACTATTCACTACTCACTACCCACTACACCCCACTCCCTACTCCCTACTCCCTACTCGCCACTCACTACCCACTACTCATATTCACTACTCACTACTACTCACCACCCAATACTCACTACTCACTACGCACTAACTCACTACTCACTACTCACTACTCACCACTCCCTACTCCCAACTCAGTACTCCCCACACGAGGGGGAGGGGGGTCCGACCCCCCCCCCCCTTTCCAGGGCCAAAGGGGGGAGGGGTGGGTCCGGACCCCCCCCCCCCTTCAAGGGGGGAAGGGGGGAGGGGGGGGGGGGGAGGGGGTCTGGACCCCCCCCCCGGGAGAGATGGGGGGAGGTCTGGACCACCCCCCCCTGAAGGAGGGAGCGGGGGGAGGGTTCTGGACCCCCCCCCCTAGTGTATTCAGGAAGATCCACTGGGCGCACTTTCATTATTGTTTTTCCTCCTCCCTCTCCTCCTGCCCCCTCCCCCTCCCATCCCTCCCTCCTCCCCTCCCTTCCCCTCCCCTCTTCTTCCCTCCCCTCCCTTCCCCTCCCCTCCCCATTCCCTCCCTCCCCCTCCCTTCCTCCCCCCCCCCTCCTTCCCTCCATCCCTCCTCCTTCTTCGTCGTCGTCCTCCTCATCCTCCTTCTCCTCCTCCTCCTTCTCCTCCTCCTCCTCCTTCTCCTCCTCCTCATCCTCGTCCTCCTCCTCCACCTCTTCGGGGTGGAGGGGGAGAGTGGGAGGCAGAGGGAGGATAGATATTCGACCAAGGACTTCTTGTGCGCATCGGCTTTAGATGGTATTGGGCGATCTTGGGCAGCAGTCCTGTAATGGCTTCCGCGGGTTGCTGGCGGTCTCCGGCGGTCTCCAGCGGTCTTCTGCGGTTTCTGGTGGTCTTCGGCGCGAAGGCTGGATGGTTGCGCACAGCAAGAGGTCCGTCATCGAACACCCAAGCATTGGGGAGACGGGTCCTGAAGGAAACGTGCCCTGGACCCTGGTACCTTCCCCCTGGACGTTTCTTTCTTCATCCTGAGTCGTTTTCTGACAGTCCCTGGGGCCCAGGGGGGGCCCGAGAAGCCAAAAGTAGCGGAAAACCTCAGGACCCGTTTCCTTCAGGACCCGTTTCCCCCATTTGGCGGCGCGCACAAGGGGGTAGGGGGAGGGGGGGAAGCTTCTTAGAAGAGGGCGCCGGACCTACATCTGCAGACCAAGCCCGCGCCTTCTCAGAAGCAGGAGTGCTTCTAAGAAGCCTTCCCCCTCCCCCTGACCCCCTCTACGCGTGGTCGACCCATGGCGATGGGTGCGTGGACCCCCCCATCGGGCGCGAAGCTCCGTCAGAAACGACCCGAATCTCCCCATCCTCCTCCTCCTCCTTCTCCTCCTCCTCCTCCTCCTCCTTCTCCTCCTCCTCCTCCTCCTCCTCCTTCTGCTCCTCCTTCTGCTCCTCCTCCTCCTCCTCCTCCTCCTCCATGCCCCCGTGCCTCGTCATCCTCATCCTCCTCGTCTCTGCGCTCCACTCCTCTCGTTCTCCTCCTCTTCGTCCCCCTCCCCCATTTTCCAACTGTTCCCCCTGCTCATCACACGAGTCCATGCTTGATGTTCCCTCTCCACCTCATCCTGATTCTCTGCCTCCTCCTCCTCCTCCCCCTCCTCCTCGCCGAACCCGTCGCCGTGAGCCAAAGCCCTAACCTCTGGCTGGCCAGAGCAAAGCCTCGTCGAAGTCCATGTCGGTGTACAGGGCCAACAAGAAGCGTGTGATCGGATCGCTGTAGCTGCCAGACTCGTGCTGCAGGACCTCTAAAGAAGGAAACAGAGGAAGAGAGGGCAGGGAGGCGGGAGAAGGGTTCCCAGATAAACTGGAACGCATGAGAGAAGGAGGCGGATTAGGAGTTGAAAGGTATACTAAGAAAGAGAGCAACAGAAAGAGAGAGAGAGAGAGAGAAATCCGTGGGAAACCGTCGCCGAGCACCGGTGCCCGTGTCCTGGGATTCTTGATGTCCTGCCCCGGTTTCCTTTTCCGGTTCCTGGCTCCCGGTACCCGGCTCCCGATTCCCGGCTCCCGGTTCCCCGTTCCCAGCGCCCGGTTCTAAAATCTCTGTTACTCTGGGTTCCCGGATCACGGTTCCGGGCTCCTGGTTTTCGACTCACGGTTCCTGGTTCACGCGTCTCTCCCAATTCCGGGCTCGCGGTTCCCGATTCCCCGTTACTGGTTCCCAGTTGCCGGTTCCGGGGTTTCCACGGTTACAGGTTCCCAGTTCCGAGTTCATGGTTTCTCTCTCTCTCTCTCTCTCTCTTTCTCTTTATACACCCATAGATATAGATTTACACGTGTGTAAAATGGACATGCTGAATACACTTGTACATGTGTATATGTTTGGCCGCGCTCCCTCTCTCACCCTCACTCTCTCTCTCTCTTTCTCTATGTCTTCATTCCCCCCGACTATATCTCTCTGCGTTCTATCGACATACATGTAGCATAGCCTGTGTACGTGAAGTTAGCCGTATCGGTGCACATGTATGTGAGTAGGTGAACATGTACATGCTGCGTATGAAAATACACTGAATCATATCAATGTGTACATACTCGCATATGCGATGTACATACATTTGCAGATATAAACCATGCATCGGCCACTCTCGTTTCTCACAAATAAAAACTATTAATACATAAGCACTTACGTTTGACTGGTGCCTACCCCTATCTCTCCCTCTCTGTATCTAGCTATACGATGTTATACGTATTCGTACCAGCGTATGTTTAAGTCAAAAACTACGTCTACGCAACTATACTGCATACGCCATTAGCAGCGTACATATAGGGTTCAACAACTGAGTCTGAATACACATAACATGAGCTTAGCCTAAAACGGTACATTTACACACGTACATGCGTAACCCTGTAAGTATCTCTACCCGTCCTTTTCTCTCTCTCTCTCTCTCTCTATCTCTCTCTCTCTCTCTCTCTCTAACTCCCTCTCTACAACGGCACCCCTCTCTACAACGGCATACATAAATATAATAAACAGTTCCGTATATGCAACGAGTTCATACGTGTACACATACGCATACATATAGAGTGTATGTATTGACTGTTTCGGAGTACAGATTCGGGTATCACTCTCACTCTCTCTCTCTCTCCCTCTGTCAAGCTCTTTCGCTTGTGAATGTGTTTCTCTCTCTCTCTCTCTCTCTCCAACTTTCATTATCCCATTATCTCTCTGTATATATATTCATGTCCATGTCGCTCATAGAATGTGCATGGATGCCTGTGTACATCGAACTACAAATATACATATATACACACATACTTACATACATACATACAGACAGACATATATCTATATACATACATCAAAACATCCATACATCCATATATCCATTCACCCACACAAAAAAGCAAGCATACATATATGAATACAACAAACATACGTTCATGCATGCATGCATGCATACGTACATCCATTCATTCAGTCATACATACATGTATAAATACAGAGATACATACCTGCATGCATGCATACATACATACATGCATATGTACGTACGTACGTACATACATACATACATACATGCATGCATGCATGCATGCATGCATACATACATACATAACATAGCATAACATAACATAACATAACATAACATATCATAACGTAACATAACATAACATAAGATAACATAGCATAACAAAGCATAGCATAACATAACATAACATAACATACATGCATACATGCATATATGCATACATACATACATACATACATACATACATGCATGCATACATACATACATACATACATACATACATACATGCATACATGCATACATGCATACATACATGCATGCATGCATACATGCATACATGCATACATGCATGCATGCATACATGCATACATACATACGTACATAAATACATACATACATACATGCATGCATACATACATACAACGATATGCACTTATCTACACATATACAGACATATATCACTCTCCTTCATTATCCTTCTTTCCCGTTCCCCAATTCCGAATTCCCGAACACGTGTCCCAGGTCCTGCGTTCCTGTTTACCGGCTCCCAGCTCCCAATTCCCGGTTCCCGGTTCCCAGCTGTACCAATTCCCAGTTCACGCGGCTCCCGGTTCCCAATTCCCGGCTCCCGGTTTCCAATTCCGGGCTCCCGTCCCAGCTCCCGGTTCCTGGCTCCCGGTTCCCGATTCCCGATTCCCTGGTCCCGGTTCCCGGTTCCCAGTTCCTGGTTCCCGGTTCCTGGTTCCAGGTTCCCGGTTCCCTTCACTATTGCTCCATATTGGTCAAGGGAGGAGGCTCAGGAGGAGCGTGGAGAAACAGGGAGGAGAGGGAGAAAGAGAAGGAAGAAACAGGGATGCGGAGGGACGGAGAAAAGGGATGGTGGCAGGTGGAGAGCGAGAACGACTCCCGGTATAGGGAAGTGAAGGGAAGAGGTTGAAGATGTCTGCTCCCGTGCGTGCTGTGCGCTCCCCAGCATGTCCTCGTTTGCGTGCTTTCCAACACGTTTCGCCCCTTGTACTCGGTTCAGCGTTGCAGCATGTTCGGTATCGAGAGCGCCCAGAGTGCCCTAGCGGGTCCCGCGCTTCGCCCCGACGTGGCCCCCGAGTCTCCCCAACCGGGGACCGAAAAAGACCTCCAGGACGACCCAACGAGGGCCCAAAAAAGCGCACCGCCGCCAGACCACTGGGAGCCTGCACTCCAAGATGGAAATAAGACATAAGAATTGTGGATGCCACGACAATGGACAACCTAACAGCCCTATCATTGAATTTAAAACGTGGTTAAAGTGTCGGGGAAATGTCCGAAACATGTTTTAAATATGGTTTTTAACATGTTTAAAACATGCTTAACACATGTTTGAGGCATCTGGAAATGATTTGGCAACATGCTTCCTCTCCATTGATCGTCCTCCACAACAAGAGAACGCCCAGAGGCCCCCGAGAGGCTCCCCGAGAGGATCCCCGAGAGGCCAGAGCAGCCCCAACCGGGCTGCTCCCCAAGAGGACCGAGAGAGAATCCCGAAGAGGCGCACTCCCAGAGCCGCGGCGCTGCTGACCACGTCCCCGCCGCGCCTCGCGGTGAGCCGAAGGCCAACAGACACGCGACCGCGCCGCCCCGACCGAACCCCGCTGTCGACGGGGTGCAGTCGGTAGGGGGCCGCACGCGAACCCCACCCCTACCCCCGACGATTTCAGAGGGGGAGGGTGGGGAGGTTCTCTTCGCTCGGGAGCTCCCGAGCGAAGTGAACCCCACCCCACCCCCCTCTGAAATCGTCGGGGGTAGGGGTAGGGTTCGCATGTCGGCTACACGCAGGAGTGACCCTGGGTAAGAGTGACCTTTGGTGCGCGACTTTTGGGGGCCTCTGGGGGGCCAAACCTGGGCGCGCAAGCAGCTGCGACTGCCTCGTTTTTGGCCATCTGGGGACCCATCCGTGCCCGCACCAAAGGTCACTCCGGCGAAAGGTCACTCTAACGTCTAGTCGAGCATGTGGCCCCCTAATCGGAACTTCCGGCGCTGCTCCCTCCGAGAGTGTCGCCTCGAGCGGGCCCGCGCGGGCGGGGCCGCCGGCGCCCCGCAGCTCCTCGGCCGAGGGCGGCACGCCCGCCCGCGTGCCAGCCGAAGCTGCGGCGCCAGAGCGTGAGAGCACGGGGCCGCTGGCGCACGCAGGGGGAGGAGGAGGCGGAGGAGGAGGAGGAGGAGGAGGAGGAGGAGGAGGAGGACGGGGGGGGAGGAGGAGGAGGAGGAGGAGGAGGAGGAGGAGGAGGAGGAGGAGGAGGAGGAGGAGGAGGAGGAGGAGGAGGAGGAGGAGGAGGAGGAGGAGGAGGAGGGGGGCCACACGCGAACCCTACTCCAGATTTCGTAATAAAAGGGAGGGGGTCTGGACCCTCCAAGACAAGCCATTTCAGACCTCCCCCGTGGGAGAACCCTCCAAAACATCGTCCCCAGACCCCCCAGGCCCTCCAAGATAGCCTGGAAGAGACCCCCCCCCGAAATGAGACCCCCCTCCCTTTATTACGAAATCTGGAGTACCCCAACCTCCCCACGATCACGATTTCTGAGGGGGAGGAGGGGGGTTCACCTCGCTCGGGAGCTCCCGAGCGAGGTGAACCCCGCCCCCCCCCCAGAAATCGTGGGGGGTAGGGGTAGGGTTCGCTTTGTGGCCCCCCAGCTGGCGCACTGCCGCTCGAGCCTTCGTAGGTGGAGTCGTTGCAGCATCGGGCCCGGTCACCCTGCCCGGCTGGGACGAGGCACTCCCCGTGCCTCCTCCCGGCGACACGAGCAGTGGTGCTTCGCGGACTCCTGGCGAAGCCTGACGCGCTGGCCAATTTCGGCGGGCTGCGTGCCGCCGTGGTGCAGTGCCGGCGAGCAGAATGGTTCGCGACCCTGCCCCGGGAGGAGGAGGAGGAGGAGGAGGAGGAGGAGGAGGAGGAGGAGGAGGAGGAGGAGGAGGGAGGAGGAGGAGGAGGAGGAGGGAGGAGGAGGAGGAGCGAGGAGGAGGAGGAGGAGGAGCTGGCATACACACCCTCGCCTGCGAGCATCACTCAGTGGATCACGAGCCGTCAAGCTGACAGGTCGCGAGAAACTTCAGCGTCCACTGCGAGATGAGGAGCCAGGGCTGTCAGCGGAGTGCGACGGGGAGAATGCAGTGCGAAAAGTGGATCGCAGAGTCGCAGAGTGCTGCACAGCCCAGAACTCAGGGAGACGGCATGCAGCTTTAACCGAAGAGGCGACGAAGGATGAGCAGCAGCAGTAGCAGGATAAGCAAGAACATGGGGAGACAGAGGAGGGAGGAGAACGACGGTGAAACATGGGTAAACGAAGAGGATAACTGTGATGACGAGGGCGAAGAGGGGGAGGACGAGGAGGAGGAGGAGGAGGAGGAGGAGGAGGAGGAGGAGGAGGAGGAGGAGGAGGAGGGGGAGGAGAGGACGACGACGACAGAACGAAAAAGGGGAGGGGGGGACCTTGACGGCGTCGAACAGCACCTTAGAATGCCACACGTGGCCGCACCGACGTGGGAGACCGGGGCCCAAATGGCTCCCATGGAAGCAATTGGAAGAAGGATGCTCTTCACGCTGCCCATCGCTTTCCACTCCCCCCCCCTCTCCTCCACAAATGCCTAATACAAACACTACTCGCATGTCTCCCCCGACTACATGCTGGAAATATCTCGCCCTCTCCACGTGCTACTGCTTGGGAGGTTACTGCTTCCATACGGCAGGTTACTGCTTCTATATGGCTTTAACCATAGAAAAATATGATGTGTTTCGAGCCATATCATTCCGCTGCAGCGTGGGCCTCAGATTAAGGTCGGCGATTTGCTCCCGTCGTTCAGAATGGCGCTCTGATCCCAGCGCGGGCCACTTTCTGCATCCGACTCCTTCCTTGTTGTTGTCGCCCCGCCCCTTTTTCCTCCTGCGTTTTCCCCTGGTCCTCCTGATCTTCTCGCTCCTCCCTGCGGCTGTTCCTCCTCCTTCTCATCCTTCCTCGTCGTCGTCGTCGTCCTTCTCCTCCTTCATCGCCACCATCATCGTCGTCCTCTTCCTCCTCCTCCTCCTCCTCCTCGTCATCAGCACAGTCATCAGACTAATCATCAGCATCATGAACATGATCATACTCATCCTCATCATCAACATCAACATGAGTAGCATCATCAGCATGATCATCCTCATCCTCATCCTCATCCTCATCCTCCTCATTAACAACATCGTCAGCAGCATCGTCGTCGTTATCATCAATCACCATCGCCATCATCGGCATCATCATTCGCAACAGCTTCATCATCATAATCACGACAAGCATGATCATCACCGTCGTCTTCCACTTCGCTTGATCACCATCATAATCATCAACACCACCATGATCACGGTCGTCGTCATCGTCCTCGTCATCATCAGCAACAACACCATAAAATTCCTCGTTGTTCAGAGGGTGCTAAAGGTGTCCCTGGCCCAAGGTGTCCCCACCTTTTTCGCTCCATGTTGGAGCCCCCGGAACCCTCTCGGCCTCTTGACGGGCGCGCAGTTCCCAGTAGCACCCGTCACGTCCTTGGAGATCCTGGGGACACCTCGGACTGTAGACACCTCTGGCACCCCCCCGTCCTTTCCACCTCCACCCCCACATCCTCCCCTGATGGTCCGCTACCGAAAATTTCCGGTAGCGCTCCGCAGAGATCGGTCGCTACCGAAATACCGAAATGTAGCGCCCAATACCGGTATCAGACCGTTCTGAAATCCGCTATTTCAACGCCCTCAAACGAAGATCCGGTCGCTACCGAAATTCGGGGTGCGTCGAAATCGCTACCGAAAATTTCCGGTACCAGACCATCAGGGTCCTCGACCCCAGCCGGAGCGCACTGCATCGGCAGCAGAGCCGCCCATAGGGGCGGCACGAGCTTCAGGCGCTTGTTCAGGATCAGGCACGCACCTGCCGGCGGCTTTTCAGGGCGCTGGCAGGCGACGGAGGGCGGGCGGACTTCACTTCTACAGCTCCCCGCCTTCCTCCGTCTCCTCCTCCTCCTCCTCCTCCTCCTCCTCCTCCTCATCCTCCCCCTCCCTTACTAGAAGATACTCTTACTCCCCCCTCGGGCCGATAGGGGTTCCTTCCGGGTCCTCCCATCCTAACTGTAAAAAATCAAGACAAAGTCGTCGTTGTTTCTTTCAACATGGCCTTTCTTGTCGTCGACGACGCAAAATGCGTAGCTGAACCAGGACGCGGCGCACATCGCGCGCGGCCGACAATCAGGACCCCCCCATCCGAACTGCAAAGAATTAATACAAAGTCGCTGTTTTTGTCTCAATATGGCCTTTCTTGTCGTCGACGAGGCGAAATGCGTAGCAGGAATGAGACGCGGCGCACATCGCGCGCGGACGTCTGGGGCAACCCCAAGCGGGACGGGCCATCCTACCTGTCAAAAGACATACAAAGTCGACATGTTTCTTCTCAGTGGGGATCTTCTTGTCGTCGGCTTTGCGAAATGCGTGGCAGGAAGGGGGCGCGGTGCACATCGCGCGCGACAGAGCGAAATGTCGCTCTCGCTTCGGCGCCGCGCGAATGTTTTCTGAAAGTTGCACTCCCGCTAGGGCGCGGCGCACATTTTTCGCTCGCCAATTCGTCGAGCGCCTAGGGGGGCCCCCTGGGGCCTCCCAGGGTCTCCTGGGACATCCTGGGGCTTCCCGGGGCTTCCCCAGGGCCTCGTGGATCCGCCTGGAGCCTCCTGAGGCATCCTGGGGCTTCCTGGGATTCACCGGGGGGGTCCTGACACTTCCTAGGGTTTCCTGAAGCCTCCTCCTCCTCCTCCTCTTCCTGCTCCTGCTCCTCCTCCTCCTCCTCCCTCCTCCTCCTCCTCCTCCTCCTCCTCCTCCTCCTCAGGAGGGGCTTCCTGGGCCCTCCTGAAGCCTCCCGGGGTTTCCTGGGGGTCGCTGCGGCTTCTCCTGAGAACTCCTGGGGCCTCCCGAGGCTTCCTGGGGACTCCCCGGCTCGTGCTGAAATGCCAGCGCAGTCTTTGAGACGCGCCAGGGACTTCTGATCGGTAACCGCCATCGCGGCTGCATCAGCTGTGGCAAACCACCTTGCCGATCTGATGTCGGTGCCCAGTTTGCGCCAGCACTGTTTCTCATGTTGTGGGAGGGCGGGTGGGAGTGGGCATGCCATGCTTGATTCGCTCGGGCTGGCTAGCTTGACTCCTACCTCCTACTCCTACTCCTCCTCATCCCGCTCCTCCTGCTCAGCCTGCCACCCCTCCTCGTCATCAGCATCAACATCATCTTCGTCTGCCTGCTGCTCCTCCTCATCCAGCGTCCGACTTTTACTGATAGCTGTGGGCTGTCTACGCCGATGTCTGGGACCCTCGCGTCCTCCTCCTCCTCCTCCTTGTCCTCCTCCTCCACCTCTTCCTCCTCATCGCTCTCTTTGCTATCATCATCAAAACTCTCCGACCGTGTCCAATCTTGAGCGGGCGAAATCTCAGGCTGGCTGCAACCATCCCGACGGAGGGAGGCGCGCCCGACAGAGAGTAACAAACCGGCACTCGCCGAAGGCTGCGGGCTGCTGACGCGTGGCCGAGGAGGCTAGCCTTCGAACGTCGAACCCCAGATTGCACGACCGCATGCGGATGCGAAGCACCCATGCAGGTCCAGCGGGCACCACAGCCTGACCGGCGGCGCAGTTACAGAGCGGGGGGCGCGATCTGCCTCACCGGAAAAATAGACAGCCTGGCGATGCAAACGCCGATGCGCACACTTGAGGCCACGAAGGCTGTCGTGAACAAGACCTGCCCCTCTGGAGGCAGAGTAGGCCACAAAGCAAGACGAGGTGGGAGCGAGCAGCTAGATGGCAACCAGGGAGCACCGCCCCGTTCACGGTTACGACGGCAGGAACGGCATCAGTCACCAGTACCGCCACGTCCGCCACTATCCGAACGCGCGAGCGGCCCCCGCACCTCTGGCCTCTGGCAGAACCCGCCAGCCAATCTCTTGGGCGAAGGCACGGCTTTTGCCGCTGAGTGGACAGGAGGGGCAGGCGGAGGAGGAGGAGGAGGAGGAAGAGGAGGAGAAGGAGAAGGAGGAGGAGGAGGAGGAAGAGAGGAGGGGCAGGAGGAAAGGGAGGAGAACCAGGCGGCCGAGTCGTGCAACCGCGGACGGGAGCACGGGCCAACATCGGGCCAAGCTGGCACGATGACGGGCCAGGCCATGCGGCCATGCCTACGCGAAGCGTGGCGCAAAACTATTGAACGACCTCCAAAAGCATCCAACTCTCGGGATGCTTGCCAGCCCGCACACGAGAAACCAGAAATTTATGTATGCTGCGGGCTTGGGGGTGTTCAGAGGGCCATAGGCAACGGTCGTTGCTGAGCTTACAGTTGGCGACTTGGCCAAAGGACACTTGATCGGAACCGCACAGGGTGCGCACCAGCGCGCCACGGGTCACCAGAACCCAATGCCCATCGAGCTCGACGATAGCATCATCGAGCAGCGCACTGACACCCTCGGGCCCCTGATTCGCATGATCGGAACCGTCGCCGCCAAGGAATTCGTCAGAGAAATCCAACGCCACCTGAGCCGCACGGGTGCGAAGGGGAGGGGCCGCCTGGACCTGGAGGTCCCCGAGGGCCTTCAGCCTCCGCTGGACCGTGGGCTCACAATCAGTGAGCAACATATCATTGAGGCTAGCTGGGGTCTCAGCAACAGCCAAGCACGCTTTACGTTGAAAGAGAGCCCCCCGAAATACCACACTTTGCCTCGTGATCGCTCCAGGAAACATAGGAGCTTGGACATGCAATGCACGCGAGTGCCGATTATACAAAACAGCACGAAAGACAATTTTGCACGCGCACCACGCCATGAATTTAGCCCCCATACGATCGCCACGAAGCTTGCAGTTGCACGACATCACGAGCGAATTGGCCATAGCATGTATCGACGCACTAGCCTTGGCAAAATAGTCGGCACACTCGTTGCCAAGAAAATACTCCCATGTTTGCCTATCATTTTCCAAATAATATGCCTGTTTCTTGCGGGCAAGGGCACCAGTAAGATTGGGGCGGTTGTTGCCCCTGTACCAAAACGAACGCTGCGCGCCAGAGGTCCGCGCACTGCGACTGGGCGTCGGCCAACTGGACTGCCCACGCCATACCACCCCGAGCCATGCTCGAGAGGTCCGTCACCACCAGCGAAACTGCAGGCAGTACCTTGACTGCATACAGAAGAGCCATACGCCCCGCTCTGCCCAGGGTCTGGATCGGCCCCGGTAGCGGCCCATAGGCAGCACGCACTGGAGCCCATGATCCCCCAATTGGCAGAAGCCCTACCCACGTCCACATAGTTCTGGCCATGACGGGGCCATCCCTGACCCGTCCGCGTACACCACCGTAGTCCAACTCGTCCGATCAGGCCCCCAATCTTCCCAAAACGCAACCGAGGCCTCTCGAGGAACACGCGGGAGGAACCTCGGGCACAACGGCAGACACACGCAGAGTTGCATCCAGTCCCAGCGGGGGGGCTCGACTTGAACCAACGACATTTCAAGCACTTGTAAGCGCGGTCCATCTTGGGGTCTAACTGGAGGCCATCGTCAAGGGCATCCCGGTAGAGACCCGGGCAGTCATGAAACACGCGCCCGAACGTGGCCTTGTCAGCCGAGCACGTGCACACCTGGCGGGCACGTCGTACCCAGCCTGATGCTGCTCGTCTGACAGGTCCAAAGCTTGCGCAGAGCGCCAGCCAAACGGGGACTTCGGTCAGCAGCATTGCGTCCACCCACGCATTCACGTAGTAGACGCATCCGTATCCTCTCATCCCGCGCTGCGATATCTCTGCGATGCGCCACGATGCATCTACCCCGCAGTCGACCATGCTTTACATACCTTCATCTTCTCCGCCAGACAGCCCGTAGCCCTCCGAAGTCTGCCCAGCGAAACACGTTGCCCCCACACAAAGCTAACCAATGCCTTGAGAGGCTCCGCAATAGCATGATACATGGTGTCGTCTAATATGTCTCGCTGAGTGGCCAAAAACAAATGGGCGAAGAAGAGCTAGCCGCCCGTCCGCGCAAAATGCCAGCCACACTCCGTCTTTGAGTATGCTCGGCTGGACTGGCACCCGATACACCCACTCCATGGCCCGCGGCAGGAAGCAAGCCCGCGCGCCACAGAGTCGTGACCTGCCCAGCTAGAGCTCTTAAGCACACGGAGACGAGGCAGACGATCGCACAGTTGGTCGACTCGGACCTGGGCCCTTTTCCGAACAGGCCGAACCGAAGACAGTTCATGACCGAGGTTTTGAATCCATTGCTTGGCTGCGACCTTAACTGCCTGGCCTTGCTACGGAAAGAAAAAGTAGCACGCCTCGCGGTGGCAGGCCAGCCCGACTTCTCAGGCTCGATAGGAAGACCTAGTTCTCGCACCTCCATTGCGAAGTCATAAACTGAACGGCGCAGCCCCCCTGCTTCACTCGGGCCGGAGCCAGCCCACTGAAACGCACAATCATAAACAAGTGCACGTGGCATGACTCTGTTGCGCAGCGTGCTGGCTCGATGTATAGCACGATACGCGGGCACGGTAAGTAATGTAGTGGCGCGCGTGCCACCAACCATGATACCTCGGCGCGACATCGTCGGTCTACTCCAACTGCCACGTCATTTGATCACCCTTGGCAGTATAAATTTCAAGAAGCAACCACACCAACCTCGATGGAGAACGCATGGCTCGCGCCTCTCGGCCAAAGGCAAGGAATAGCACCGCCCCGAAACACTTCCACGCGCCCAGCACTATGGCAGTTGAATTTTCGCCACAAAAAAAATAATTTCGGCGCGCAGGCTGCGCCCGTACTCAGAATGGCTAGACGAGCACCCCCGCCCGGACCCCCACATGCGCGCGCGGCCGCGCCCGCGCACCCGAGCGCGCGATATCGGGCGTCTAATGCTCGACC